ACAGATCCCGTGACGTAATTCGCAAGAGTTGCCCATGGGTGAATCGACTTACATGACCGGTCACAGATGTTAGTATCCGCCCAAGTGGTGTTCATTGTTGCAGTCTCAGTGCTGGAATATGAATAACCAAACTTACCGTAATGGTAATTTAGCGCAATCGCTGGTCACTATTAACTAAATTAACTTTAAAACATGGCTTACTCGTGGGTGGCTGAAACTGGGATTTGAACCCCAGATCCTATCAGTGCTAGCTCAGAACTGACAAAGGCTTTAGACTGGCCACTTCAGTATCAGCTATTGTTAAGCTAAGCTGGTGTTTAGCACTGGATCTGCAATGTCTCAGAGCAGAGCGATCTCCTCTTCTATAATTAAACCGTGGTCTGTGTCCCATCAGAGTCGACAGGCACCCCTCGGCCTTCGTCTCTTCGTGTCAATCCACTCTCAAGCAGCATACAAGGATTCTGGTGAATGGCAAGCTTTAGTAACCGACTGTATTTGCAATTAATAATTTAAAGGAAGAAAAAAACTACTCATCATTTAAAGCTCTCTGTCAATCCACTGCTGGATGAAGGCCTCGTCACACTGTGCCACGCGTGGAGGTTGTTTGACGGGTGCGGGCTAGTGAAGGGAGGAGTCCAGGACTGGTTCAGGTATCACTCGCAGCTGATGTTAGTCGACATTTCGTTCATCGTGCAGCACGCAAATTGCTGTGCCATCGCTCAAGCCAGATACATTTTTTTAATTGAATTAATGTAAATTCTTAATTCAATGAACACATATCTTAAGCCGTGCCCAGTAGTAATATACGGCTGTGCTGGGTTTTGTTTTGTCAAAGCGGACATATTTTCTGCATTGCATTGATATACTCTTAAATCTTTCACATAAATAATGCTCTAAAGATGTAATCTTGGCATCTTACAAATGATGACACAGGCATCTTTACACTTAGAGCAACGGCTTTGTTTTTTTATCAAGACATGCACGCCCACCGGGTATTCCACTTTCCCTCATTTGAACTGAATTTTGCAACGGACGGGGGGTTCATCGGCACAGGCACGGCTCTAGTAATAGGTTTTACCCTTTTAATTGGCACAAAAACCGACACCTTTATTCAAGGCATCATGTTTGCAATAACCACAACACAAGCAATCAAAATGCAAACAAAAGAGACAACTCTGATAATGATATACACTGTCCTTGAATTTGATTGGTCCACACCCGAGATGGCTTTTCTTAGAGCCTAGTCTCCACTGGTGTTGGACCAGAAGACGCCAAAAGGCGTACAACTCAAAAACAGCGCACTATCAGAGTATTGAGGGCTCGGGGTAAGCATTTACATTATGAGACCTCCTTTGCCAGTAACAAGATATAGAAATAGGTTTTACCCTTTCAACTGGCACAAAAACTGACACCTTTATTATTATTATCAGAGTTGTCTCTTTTGTTTGCATTTTGACTGCTTGTGTTGTGGTTATTGCAATCATGATGCCTTGAATAAAGGTGTCAGTTTTTGTGCCAGTTAAAAGGGTAAAACCTATTACTATATCTTGTTACTGGCAAAGGAGGTCTCATAAGGCACGGCTCTATTATTGTGAAAATTCAATCAGAATTATGGCAACTGTTCAGACAACGGTTAACTCTGAACCTTACAAACGTGGCCAGCCTCCAGCAGTGACCAAAGCCACAAGCCGGCATGGCAAACCCCACTCTCAGCCTTCGTACCGTCAGCACTAAACATCGCGTAAAAATGTCATCTTTAACTGCACTCATTGTTAATCAACGTAGCGACAATCTCAAGACTGCGGTAGGTGTCCTTCTTATTCCGCCAAGCCATTGTTGTCCCCCGCCGATCCTCCCCGCATTAAACTGCACGGGGCAGTGGAAATAAATAATTAATATAAACTAGACGGCGAACCATTTTCAGAAGTAACTCCCCCCCTCCAGCCCCTTTCTCAAATGTGCAGGAGCAGCGAGAGAGCAGTGCTGTCCGCATGGCATCTGTGGACCATCCGTCAATGCCGGGAGGCTATCGGGGGGTAGGAGGGGGTGGGTAGCCGAGGAGAAGTCTGCATTGCGGTACACTGCAGCAGTAGTCGGTGGGAGCGTGGTCGCCGACGGGCGTTTACATAACAGCTGATGGCCACTTAGCGTGAGGTCGCCGCCGCCCGCACGGGAGAGGAGGGATCGATCATCTTGCGCCGTGTGCCACGGCACCTTCTCGCCCCGGTGCTCTGCGCCGTGGCAATGATCAAGGCAGTGGCGCTCCTCGTTCGCGTGGCACTTCCCTCCCGGAAGAGAGCGCACGCACGCGCGCTTCATCACTCACTCTGCATCGCTGCATACGAAGCTACGTACGATGCGAAAGAAGTTCAACATTCATTTCGTACATACAACGTCTTTGCACCCGCCCCGAGTGAAATTGTCACGGATTCGCTCGTACTTTAAGGCAATCAAACGTTTTCTTAACACAATTTTTGTATCCACATTTTTTAATGAATTGTTCTTTTCTTGATTTATCTCCATAAGCTAAGAAGGGTATTTATAAGTGCTACATTTAACTCAATTAGAGACTGGTGTCTGCCATAGGAATGCAGAATTTCTGTAATAACTCAGGGTCACAAATTGCAGTGATCGCTACCAAACAATTATCACTGCCACCACAAATGTATTTTAAAAAATATTTGTAAACACATTCCATCACTCGATGACGTCTTAAAAGCCGTGTGGGCATTATTTGTCTCACCCAACATTCTTTGACATTGGTTTGACTTTGATAAAATGCCACCGCATTTTATCAAAAGTCCCGTCCCACTTTTTTTTTGTTACACTGTGCGCCGATGCTCATCGTACATGTCAGAGTGGTGGCCCGAGACAGCACGGACACCTGCCAGGCTTGCTGATGGAGACCGACAGCTCTGGGTTCTGGGTGACGGGAAGTTGTGTGACCTGGCGCGAGAACTACCGAGCGCAGACAGCTGGCCTGCACGTCATTTCACGTATTGCGTCCACGGCTGCATTCGTACCAACCGCTTGCCTGATATTTTCTTCATGGGTATGTAGGTGTGTTTGTGTGTGTGTGAGGAGCGGTAATGGAGCGGGTAGCACACTGCGCTACGATCCCGACGACCTGAGTACAATTTCCGCTCACGGTCGACACCAATGAACCAGTCCTGGGCATCCGGTAGGTTAACTCAGCCTAAAATGATTACCTGGTGCGGTGTGTAAAATATCACCAATAGGGAGACAAAGGCGGCCGGGCGTGGTGTTGGCCACCCACCCTCTTGTGCGCCGTGCCGGCCTTCATAGGTGCTCACGAACAGCACTTTCCCCAAGTCTGTTAAGTCTATATAGGAGATATTTGTCTTTGTTGGGCTTATTTCGCGCCATACGTAGCCAATCGCGTATATGGGATTTGTTCCGTACATAGTTAATGTGCAGCGTTGTGAGATGCTGTTGGCATGAATGACGCCGCTGTGTAAAATGAAAGTATTATTATTACTTGATTAGTAAATATCCAAACAAGTCGCAATTGACATTGTTTTATAAGAGTCCACGTGTCCGTCCTCCCAGCATTATCGACCGAGGTAGTTTACACCCATTGCCTGGTACCGTGCAGATTCATATATAATCAAACACAATCACGATTTATATAATCAAACACAACCACGATTTACGGGAAATATTGGTTACAAAATACACAAAGCCTATTCACAATACACTCCGTTGTCAGGGCTTTATGGGTAATGAAGTGGGTGTCACGTTGCATAGTGCGCTCCGCCATAAAGCTGGCAACATGAGTTCGATTCCTACCCACGGCTAACATCAGTGGCGAGTGATATCTGCACCTGATCTAAGGCTCCCCCACTTCTCCACTCCACGTTGACCAGCATGGTGAAGTATGGTCAAATAAACCATAATAATTACACGGCATGGGGAGCTGGGGGGGGGGGGGGGGATTGACAAGAGGTTGCAACCTATTTTAAACATTATCATGTACAGAAGACTACTTCTACAAAGTGCCAGGCTTGTTGAAGTTTGAAACTCACGCACAATGTGTAAAGGCCACGGAGGTTTGTTTGTGCCAGCCATTGAATCAGCTGCTCCCGCTGATAGCGTGAGAGCATTTTTAATGAAGCGAGATACCGTGGGTTTCAATCACGCTGGCAGTTTAAGCACCACCTGGCCAGCGTAATGCTAGAAGTAAATAAAGTTTGTATAAATTAAGCGGGGAAGGGAAAAAAACCCCGATACGTATTTATAAGCGCACGGACACGTACGTACACAACGCAGACAACGTGCAGATACGCACGTGTCCACAAGATGGCAATACCAGCGCATACGTTGAACCGAGGAGGGTGCATGACATTTTTGCGCGAAATGAATGCCCCACTCAGGCCAACGAACATCAGAAGCAGCAGCAGGATTTATGTGCACGGATACATCAAATTGCATTGACCTTAACCGTCTTCTCCCTAAAGTAATGTGTTCATTGTTGAAGGTGTGCACAATAGCCACACATCTGCAGTTACATATATGCAGCACACGTTTGTTAGTTTGTTAGTTTGTTGTTTTATGGATGCGTTAAAGGCGTTTGTGACACTGTCGGTCGCGAACGGTGAGAATATAAAGCAGGGATGAGTGAACCTTGCCCTGACACGGGGTGGAATATGACTTTCAAATACCATTGGCATGCAATACACAGATCCCCCGTATAGCATTAACAGACTCTTTGGAACCAAAAAGTATGGATTCCTGCAGTAACGAAAGCTTCAAATCAAGATTAACAGACTGTTGGGGCAAGTGCTCTGAGCGAGCTCTCATGAAGTCCGGTACGGCACACGAGGAGGTAGGGGTTCAGCACCACGCCCGATCGAATTTGCCTCCCCAGTGACGATGTTTACATTTGGCACCAGGTACTCATTTGAGGCTGAGTCGACCTCGGAGGAGGCCCATGACCGGTTCAGATAATCGTCACTGGTGTTGGTGGCCGTGAACGGGAAATGAACTCGGGTCGCTGGGTTCACAGCGCGGCGCGCTGATCGCTGCGCGCTGATCGCTGCGCCACCGTTCCGCACAAGCGCCACATTAACACGTACGTACCTGTCGCCTCTGCCAATGCGATAGGCCCTTGCAGTGGCAGATGTGACGGAGCGCAATGCATCTATAAAACACAGTGCTGCCACGTCAAAGATATTCCCCTCTCGGACCTGATAAGTTGCAGCTGAGATAAATATTGTTTATAGGTCCTTCCGAAGCGATGGAGCTGTTGGCCACGGACCATATTTTTGGATCTTGCATTGGGTGATTATCCGTTATACGGTCTGTTCTGGATGACCACAGTCGCACACACGACTGCAGAGTTCTTATTTTTACATTTGTGCACCAGGTATCCATCGTTGACCCTATTGGTTTTACAATATCATAGCAGAGCTTACGGAGAAGTGTTCCCCCTACCGATTAAAAGGTCAGTAGGGGGCACACCGCTTGCCATTCACCGCAACTTTGAAAATAAGTTGTCACTTGCATCGAATCGTGGACCTCGAGTCGTGAATTGCCCCACCCCTGGCAGGCAGAGGGAGGAGGCGGCAGAGGTGGAGTGGAGGTGCGGAGTGGGGTCATCAAGTGCCACGGCAGAGCCCTCGTCGTGGCTTACGGAGGATCGGCACGGCTGCCCTGGGTTCTGCTTCCAGATCTGGGCCGTTCGTGAGTCAGCAAAGCCCTCCCTGTTCTCCCCACTACCCACTGCTCATGGACACGAAGGCATCGCGCAGACCAGGAGCCTGCAACCAAAATAACGAGAAGAGACATTTTTTCGAATTCGGGGTAACCTCCCCCCCCCCCTTCAATATTTAAATAGCCCCAATGCAACGTGAATACGAGACGGTGGTGGTCCTTAATAGATAACGTCACGAAGCGATCCATGAAGAGCCGCATGTGACTACAGAGCCGCAGGTTGCCAACCCCTGAGCTCGACTGAGACCATTGAAATCGCAATCTACTATGAGCAGCACCACCTACAATGTTCGTGTTTGTTTTTGTAAAACATCTGGGCTCATGCCCCATCAGGCGCTTTGCTTTGTAACATTTTGACAAAACAGTTTGCAACAAAGTAATAGGCGAAAGTTATCTTTTCTTCCAATTCTCGCCTTGTCAGAAAAGTTGAAAGGGGTCTGCTGTTGCACAAAGTTCAATCAATAGATGAACACTGTCAAGTTTGTCATGTCGAGATTCAAACGTCGAGGAGACAAGCTGGGCAAGCTAGTATTGTGGGTGGGCCTCAACTCGTTATGTTTCCGAACTCATAAATGCTCATAAACGCGATTAATTCAACACATCTCATTATGTTTCAACTTTGATTAACAAATACATATTTCCAAAATCATGGCATTCATGCTCTTTATTGCTGCTTTGTCATCATTGTGAACCTGATCAAACTGTTCTCGATATAAATACTCTGCAGCGTTTTACAATTCACTCCGCGGGAGAGTTTATTTTTTATTTTATTGAGCGAACTTGCAGTTTTGATCTTCAGCCCCATTTTCCCATCTTCTTTGTAACGTTCTTCAGCCACAATCTGTCTTTCATTTCCATTGGTTGTTATAATGGCTTTGTAGGCAGCGAATCTGACACGGTTAACGCTTTATTCATTCATCATCAACGCCTTCAGCTGCTCCGATGGGCAAAAAAATATCGGTACATCGAAGGATGACCGATAGATGGGGACTGGTCACCGAAGGTCAGCTGAAATAAAAAGTACGACGACCGCCAGAGATTAAACGACGAGAGCATCTCCTGCGGATTTGTGACACCCTGGAACCGCGTGGGGATGATGACAGCATGGGGAGGCATTCATCCGGTAGTTGATAGACCATGGCTGAGGATGATGTGTTCTCTGGAGGTGTCACTTGTTCAAGTGGAACAAAAATTGTCTATCCTCAAAATTGTATTTTGAAGATAGAAAAATATGCAAAAAGTCATACTGTCGCGTGAAGTAGGTATTCACGAACTACTTACAGCGGTAGGTCTAACACTTGGCTTACCTACAGGGTTTGGACTGGTGACCTCTGTACTGGGACACATACAAATGTAAACATTTATCTGAAAGTGAAAAATCTAGGCCTTGACATACCCTTTTGTGGGCGTGTGCGCGCATGCTCGCCCTCCAAAGCAAACAAAACCATTAATTAAAGAGAAACGATTCCTCATCATAAGTATGTTGGCAGCATCTATTTGCTCTCCTGGCTGCCGGTTACGAACTGCAATGAGTTGTTTTCCTTTTCATATCTCACTGGGGAGGAGGCCCATCAGTCGCCAAAACATGGGGAAGGAAAAGAAAGACCCCGCAAGAAGGTTTTAATTTGTTGTACCTACACATCTTGACGTCTCTTGAAGAAACCTGGGAGTAGATGACGCATTTCGCTGCAGTAATACAAATCCACTCGCTGCTCATCTCCCCCCACTCCCTCCCCCCACTCCCTCGTCCGCGCAAACCCAGCCATATATATTCCCATTATGGCGACGTAAATCACTTAAATTACAATTGAGCAGCACTGGTACGGACTGCAGCTTTGAGGCAGAAAACGAACGGCTCTGCCGTGCTTCTTTATGAACGCTGGCCACGCGTAAAAAACGGAGCTCTCACACTCCCCCCCCCCTCCCGACGCCTTTCAATTACGCACGGCCATCGAACGCCAAGGTCAAGAGGTCACCGGTGGCGGTGGGGGAGAGAGAGAGAGGCACTCTCTGCTGCCCATCCCACCAGGTGCTTGTGGACGCTTTGTCACCCACTGGGCAGGCCGCCAAAAATCGGACAGCCAAACTCGCTCAGAGTTTTACCTGCCTTGTGTACAGCACATACTGTGTATATATATAAACAAATGTCAAGGCACAGCCCTGCTAATTGCTTGCACAAAACTAGAAACCACAGAGCTAAACATTTTTTTTTATTTTACCAGGTAAGGCCCACTGAGCTATACAGCTCTTTTTAGGAGCGACCTGTCCACACATGATAGCTCAACGAAGTGACTTATCACATTGAAATTTATAGCAGCCAAATGCTCAAAAACGCGTGTTGATTCTAAATGTGGAGGGAAAAACCGATGGACATTGAGAGAAAAAAAAATTCGATTTAAAGCTTTCGTGACTGCAAGGATTCATCTTCTTTGGTTCTTTCGGTAGAGTCACGTAGAATGAGAATAAAATAATAAATTGATCAAATAAAACAACACAATAATATTCTCACGACGTTTCGGCCACAACACAAGCGGCCTTCATCAGGTGAAGGGGACGAGACTGTCTGGAGGACTGTCCCCGTGTGTTGTGGCCGAAACGTCGTGAGAATATTATTGTGTTACTTTATTTTATCAATTTATTATTTTATTCTCATTCTACGTGACTTTACCGAAAGAACCAAAGAAGAGACACAACACACTTGCGCAAGCCACTGCTGGCGGAAGGGCCTCTGCTCGAGGTAGCTCAACGAGGGCAAATGTTGTCCAAACTGGCCTGCACGGGTTGGCTACGTACGGTTGCGAAAGAAGTTCTACGTACACAGATACGCACGAAAGCGGTGTGAGAACCAAAGCTTCACCCCACCACGCGCGCTCAGACGATCGACTCATTGTGATGAAGTCACACACACTGCCGGACGGATCGTGGCGGAGTGACTTAAGACACTTGCCCCATTGTATCAACTTTCCAGGCCAGCGTGCTCACTGTCAAAAACACTGCAGCATCTCCCTGTATCATCTCATTATCCCGCCCCCCCCCCCCCCCCCCCACACATACATTTATCTATACGCAGAACGGTCTAATAATGTGTAACGTAATTCGAACTTAAATTCCACCTTGAAAGATCTGGCTGCGATTCGCGCGTCTCGGCGGAGCCAGCTGCTATCCGATAACGCGGAATCTTGCTCTGTTGGCCGTGTCCGCCGCTCGGCAGGAAAGTTCCGTGGCCGTTGCTCGATCAACTCCGCGGCGCTGATCTCGCGCACGGCCTGTCTCGCGCGGCCTCTGCGAGCAGCTTCGCGATATTTCCAACGGATGATATTTCACATCACCATGAATAGGCACCGGTGGGGGGGGGGGGGGGGGGGGTGGCGCTTGGGGTGGGAGGGGTAGGGATCATTTTCACGGTTTAGACACGAAAACTTTCGACGAGTTCTCGTTGCCGGCCGCGGCTCCCGGGACAGTCCGCACCTCTGGACCGCACGTCCTACCGCCCGTCTCACCACTGTCGCGATCGGCGCGATTGAGTGGCGTTCGCGCTCGATGATGGGTAACGCCGCTGGCTCGCATCAGTTTTGTCGGCCAGAACCGTGCCTCTTAGTCAGCAATGGCTCTGACTTAAAATTTGGGTCAGGTCGCGTAAAAGTACAACGCCAGTGCAAAACTAAAAACCATAGAGCTAAACTATTTATTTTTACCAGGTGAGGCCCAGTGATCCATACAGCTATTTTTCAAGAGCGACCTGGCCACAATTGATAGCTCAATGAAGTGGCTTATCGCTTGGAAATTTATAGCATCCAAATGCTATAAATGCGTTTTGATTATAAATGTGGAGGGGGAAACCGCTGGACATAGAGAAAAAAATCCACTATATCACTGGGAGAACACGCAAACTTCAAATATACAGCAGGCGTCAGGGTCTGGATCGAACCGACGACCTCCTGCATACCAGGCGAGGGAGATAACATCTCGCCACGACGGGGCCCTCCGCCACCCACCGCAGCTCAACAAAGCTGTCGCGAGAACGGACGCCGCCTGTTGTTGCTTCAGCACACCGCTGCGTTGAAGAGCGATCGACAACGTTTGACGATTAGGCTCGATGTTGCGCTCCTAGCTGCAACCGGCGTCGTCAGGCGATTGCCAACAATTGCGAAGATGTCCCTCCGCCTCCGATCCAGGGCATTCATTTGATGGTGTGACATCATGTGCCCATCCACCACACCCGTGAAGAGGAAATGGCAGGGAATTCTACCTGGAAGGTATTTACATTACCCTAACACGTCGTTCCCTATTCGTTAAATGTTGTGGTACGTCTCTTCTGCACGCCGGCGTGCTGCAGCGACATAAAAAGAAAATTCGCAACGGTTCTTCACTTGACAACTTTAGTTCTTTGACTGCGTCGGGTGGAAGAGGGTGTACGACACAACACTGGCTTCGTTCTCACGTGACCTCACCCAGAAATCAATTACGAATGACAACATCGCAAAAGCTGACTGTTCATGTTACACGTGTAGGCTTATCTCGACCAATAACTAAGATTGATAATTAATTTATTTCGGGTTAGATCGTCGGCCGTGTAGGTATGACATCATCTTTTTTTACTATCACCCCGCACCACCCAACACAGCCAATCAAATCAAGTTGTCACGTCGTGGACAAATATGCCAATTGATTTGGATTATTTTCAATAGATCAATGGCAGTGTAGTATAATATTAACCGTAATTGTAATTAGTTTGTGTAGTGACCTCTGCATTTCCGGATGCCCAAAGCTTTTACCATTTCCCATGCAACAATCCGTCTTGCTCCTGTGCATGAGCTGCTTTCGTCACTCCATCTCTGGGGGGGGGGGGGGGGGGGGGGCATCCTCTCACGCGTTTTCACTCCTTCAGCTGCATCTCCGTCTCTAGTCTTGACCAGAGGCCATGAAAAAAAAAAACACCCTTCGAGCATCAATTTAGCGTAGAGAGAGAG